AGAGAAGCAATAACCAAGGTAGGATGATTAATCAAGATAATCACTAAAAACATGTAAAAGAAATAAAGAAGCCATGAACATATTTCATCAAATTCTACTATTGCAATCCTGGAAGAATAAAAGCTGAGAGAGAGGTTGGGGATAAAACACTGCATGAATGAGGTTTGGAAAAGACAAGTCATTGCCTGTTACTTGCTTCTGATTCTGTTCAAGGAAACACAACTCTGTGCTTTCTTTGTAAATAAAATGAAAGTATATCAAAGCAAAAACCTGTCCTGAAGATGAATTCTCTTTTCAGCTGAGAAGAAAACAACCCACAAACCTGGCAAATGGTTTAACCACTCAGGTAAAAATGGATTACTACCACATGAGAAGAGGCATCCGGTTTTCCAGCAGGGAAATTGTGAGGTGGAATTTCCTCTGAACCAAAACAGAGTAAATGAAGGAAGTATCTCTCAGTAATAGTAATTGGTAAAAAGAGATGAAAACAAGAACAGATGAAATTAAAAGAAGACCTGAATCAGCTGGAGGCTTTTCAAAATTAATTAAAGTAGTGGCTGGAAAATTTCCAAAGCGGTCTAAGACATGACACGCAGGCAGAGATGAAATCTCTGTCTGAGCTGCAAACAGAGTATCCAGACAGATTAGGAAGGCCTGTATCAAAACAGATCAGTGAGGTGACTGATGATGCAACTGCTGCAGGCTAGAAAGTTTTCAAAGAAACAGGTAAGTCAGGAAACTTGGAACTCTCTTGGACCTTGCTGGCTGAGGAGCAATGGCAAGGCTATAAGGAATTCGAGAAGTAAATTGGAGGGACAGACAATCATGGAAGTCTGATGCCTGGAAGTGGGCTTACACTACAAGACATGCAGAAGTGCATGCCAGTGTCTGATGGCCGGTTTTAGCGACCCAAGTTGGACGGTACTGAAGAACAGTATTCGCCCTTCTTCCTCACCTTCCCAAAGGACATAACCTTCCAAAGAGGAAGTGATCACTAGTGAGAAGACTGAAGCTGATCCACCTGCAGTCCCATAATGGTACTATGCAGGGATCTGCTCCTCAGGAGCAGAGTGCCTGGTGAAGGCAGCTCTCTGCCTGACACCCATGATGGCAAAGAAGATTTTAAACTGGTTGGAGCTCTTTTACAATGACTGCAAGTGCTGAAGTCTGTAAAATAGGAAAAACTAACAGCAATGAAAATTTTAACTGTTACTGTTGTGAAATGAACATCCTTAAACAAGATAAGCATGGACGAAGCATCATCAGTGTCTTATGAAAAAGCTTTGCCCAGTCTGAGAAAGAGAAGACACTGAGCTGACCATGATCTTTGTTCGGGCCTGGGTAACTTGAGAACTGTAAACGGGAGTTTGACTGCTAAGTATGCACAAAAATACTGGGCACTGGATCAGTGTAACAAGTTCTATAGTGGCCTGCCAAAAAAACTAGGAAAAAAGTAGTATCCAAAACTAAATCAGCTGTTTGGTCTCAAACAGAGATAACGGAAATGTCTACACGATCATGTAGGTCACATAGATATGTGCATCACAAGCAGCAGACATTGCAGAGCAGCCCTAGTGCAAGAATTATGTTCCCTTTGGATGCAGCTAAGCATCCAGAAGAACTCTTAAATTGCTTCCCCTGCCAATGAGCCAAATTTGATCCATTGTACCACAGTATAGCCAGTCTAAAGTGAAACCCGCAAAATGAGTGCAGTGTGATGCTCTACAAATCTGCTCCTACTGGGCTGCACTGCTTGCTAATGTAGACATAGTCACTGATGGGAGGAAAAACATCAATGCAAGATTCAGGAAAACTAGGAAAGTGGGTCTCTGGAATTTGAGCATGAAAGCTAGATAAGCAAGACAGAACAGGAGTGGTTTGGAATTTGTTAAGGATATCAGCTGTGCAGTAAATGCCAAGAAAGTTGTCTCACATATTCAGGTAAAACAAAACCATTGTAGACAATTTCTTTTTCAGAAAACAGCTTGAATTGCCTTCAGGTGTGGAAACAATTATAACAGCTACATACTGGGGAAACCCTTCAGCCAAAGAAAAACAGCGTGGCTGATGCTCACCATGCAGCTAGGATCTTGGGACACTTAGCAGTTAAGTCTGTCTGCAAAAATATGAAGCAAGAGATCTAACAAGTCCTGGCGTACAAGGCACTGCCGAAGTACATGAGTTTTTGTTAGGCTTGCTAAAGCATGACATGGTGCGTTTACACAAAGAGCAGCAGAACAGTCCCAGTTTTTCTGCTTTGGAATCTGTCACTGTTCTCACGATTAGGCAGAAAACTGCTCCATGTGAGCATGTGAAAGGGGAAAAAAGCAACACAGCTCAGCTCCAGCTAGTATTGAGTGGAAGAGGGTGAGGCAGGAGAACCACTGAGAAGATGTATCAGGAATGAATAACTGCATCTCTAAACAATCCCTGGTGGCAGCACCATGATCTGTACAGAAAACTGTATTAAAGTAAACATCAAAGGATTCTGCTCAGTAAGGAGTTGCGATATTCCATAGCAAGTTCAGGTTTCCCACACTTTACCTTATAATAGGTACTGGTAGGTAAAAAATAGATAAAAACTTTGCTCCTGCATCTGGCCATAAATAGCAACAACTTCAAGCCACGGCTTTTGACTTGCATAAAGCACCTACTACGTTTCAAAGGTTATGGACAGAGGACTCTTGCTTACAGAGTTAATCCCTCCAAGGCTGTTTATCACTCCCGGTTGATATCTTCGGCCATGTAAAAAGCTTAGAACATGAACTAGCACATCGAAAAGTAACCTGTAGGAAGCTTAAGGCTGCAAAAATGAGAAGAATAAGAGAAAGGTGATGATGGACCAATTTGACATTGGTAGGCATTATGATAAAGTGACAGACATAATCAAAATAAATATAAGGATCAAACTTTTCTACGGAACCAAATAGAAGATACAATAAAATAACTATCACATAAAAAAGAGGGATATAGCCACACTTGGGCAGGAGCTGAACCTCTGTTACCAAATGGTTTTCTTGGAAGTGTATACAGCAAGTTTGGTGGGAAGACGGAATGATCTTTCACTGATGGATAACTGGGAGGAGAAATAGCTAAAAAGAGCAGAAGGAAAATGAAGGGAAGCAAAGAATCTCTGGCCACAAATAGCATGAAGAAAACAGGTCAAGAAACAGACCTTCTGAGTGTGGAGCTGGATTGTAGAACAAATTGGATTATAGAACAAAGAAATAACTGTTCAATTTTAGTCATTCCATGTCTGGGAAATCTGGGGTTCTGTGCACACTTACTGAACAAAATATTTATTCAAAGAAATACTTGATTCCAACACTGACTTTCCCTCTTGTAGCAGGACCACAAAAATTGCCCAACTGCTTAAATTAGAATGGAAGAACAGATTATATCCATCGCAGTATCTTGCTATGATTAATTCTGATTTCTGTCAGCAGCAATGCTTATATAAAATTTGTTCTTTATATGCCTCCTTTAAAAATGGGACATACATTTTTGCAACATGTAAAGGGGCAGTTACAGGTACAAATATGCAAAATATGAATATACAATATATAAATATACCAGAAGGCAAAAATATACATTTAAAAAATCTAGCCCTCAGGGATCATAAACTGTCATTTCCAAATACTAAATGTGGCATTTGCTTTTTCATGTTTAAATTAATAAATACATTTTTAAGCATGATGCCTGATGTAAGGAATCACTCACTAAGGCAAAAAAATCAGATTTCTCAATTATATCTAAATACCACATATTGAAGACAAAAATTATCAGATCCTTGAAAATTTAAGCCAAAACAACAGCTCATATTATTTCAGACAAAAGCTATTTCCTCTATGCTTCTAAAAATAAGCCCAAAATATTTCAGCCTGAGCATCTAAATATCCAGGCACCCAAAATCCAAAAAACTTTTTTTGAAAATGTCCTGATTCTTCATTTATCAGAGAAACAGTAGGAAATTGTGACCTGAAAAGCATATAGAACTATCTTTAATAGGGATCAATTGATACTTTACAATCATAGACCAAGTGAAGCCGATTAAGAGATAAGATAATTTCAGCTGAATGCAAGCTCCTACAACATAATGGTGCTTTTGAAATTTTTACTTCTACATTCTCTATTCTCAGAACAAAAGTCTCTAAATCCATCATTCAAAATAGCAAACAAAAACACGCGCTGTTGCTGACAATAAGCCCCAGCTGCCTGTAACGCTGACCCCACAAACAGCTTCAGTAAGCTTTCAGGCACACTTTTACACTTACAAAGGAACACCTAAAGTAGCATATCTGTCACATAAATGCACGGAGCGCTAGGCATGCACATACCTAGTTTACTGGTGTGTGTATGTCAAAATTCGAGAGCTGCATGAGCATGTAAAAAGACTGCGCGCAAAGCAAGCTCATCTTTGTGCATCAGTAAAAACTATCTTGAGCCTTGATCCTGCAAAAATGTGTATGCCTACTTAACTTTATGCAGTAGAGTCATAACTCAGCTTTCGATTCAGCTATCTGTGGCAGGGAAAATGCATAAGAAGTTAAGCATTTGGGGGAACGGGGGCCAGTGCAAAGTAGATTTCGACAGAAAAATTAACAGCATATAGTGCTAGGTCCTTTTATGATTTGGAGGAAGCCAACTAATTCTGACTACGCTCCTAAGAAGGTCAGCCCCTCTGCAAATCATCCGCTCTTAGGCTGCGGTCTAATTAGGGAGACCTGGCCTTAAATTTGGACTAAAATTTGAATACTTTGGCCTGAGGTTTTCCACTTAATTTCTAGATCAACTACTCTTTAGTAAGGTTTGTCATATAAATAGGTGGCGTTAATTTGCATTTACTAGATTGTTAAAAGCCATTCAAAAAAAGTTTTTTCCAACAATTACCTTGCAAACTGACTGGAGCACAACAGATTTTACACACCTTACATTTCTAAAAGCACGGAAAGGCATTTGACCCAACATAAATCCAGCTTTCAAAGAGTTGTTTAACTCACCTGCCAGAAGTCAGCGCCAGTAGCAGGGACAGGGCCCTGGGTGGCAATATACGCAGGGTTTCGGGGGTCATGGTCCATCTGGAATAAAGAACGAGAACACAGACTGGATTTACTTAAAGGGAAATTCCTTGCTGTGTTAGAGACAGGAAGTATGCCAGGGCAGCAACAAGGACTGACATGTCCCGCTACCCTTTATTGGCAAACAAAGAATTTTATTTCTATTTATAAGCTCAGGGGAGATCTTTTTCCACAAAAGACTCATGTTACCAGAAAAATATCAGCACATACCATGACCAATGTCCTGTGTCCTCAATACGCAGCATAAGATCATTTATGGTGGCTGACAAAAGCATTTATTTAAGATCAGCACTCATGGATTCATAGCAACCTAGGTGCCATTTGAAACGTTTTTCTACACTGACTGCTGGGCACATCTAAATAGTTTTCCATTTCCACTATGCCAGTCAAGGGCACATGCAACTGAAAAAAAAGCAAAAATGGGGAACAAACTCAGTTTCTGCCTTTTTCTGGTTAGCTGATTTGTCTAAACGCATGGATTTGGCCTCAATAGAAGTTGTTCTGCTTAAAGACCTTAATTATAACATTTAATTCAAGGAGCAGAAAATTCACTGAGCAGAAAAAATAAAGAATCTGAGAAACAAAGCCATCAAGAGTAAATAGGATTAGCGTGTTACAATGGATGTTTTCGATCTGATGGGTGGTTTTCTGGGTTCTAAATCTCAGGACCCATTCTCCTGAAGAAGAAGATCTGCTGATGGGATTAAAAAACCCAACAAACTCATTCTAACCCTGAACCCGGCATGACAAAACTTCCAACATAAAGAAAAAAGGCCCAGTTCAGCTCTCATGTGTGGGTGTGACTCACTGACATTGAAGTCAGCGAGAGTTAACTTATACCCATGTAGCCAAAGGCAGAATTTGTCTCAATACAAGATTCTGCTCCATGAGTAAAGATCTGAATAAGAATGAATGTGAGTCACATTTGCATTAACAGGCAGCTACTGAATTTATTCATAGCGTATCAAAATTTTTGGTGATGGTAGACGTCAGTGTAAAAGAAGGCACCTCATAATTATGTGCAACATAAAAGAGGGAAGTACCATAAAAGAACAGATGTAAGTTATTCTAACCGAATAACAATACGATGAATGTTGCAAAAAGGAGGAGAACCCTGTTATGCTTCTGATTTTCTGATGCATAATGAGACCGGACTTAATATTAAAATTCTCCATGACAACACAACACTGGTAAAATTAAGTCGCTGAATCCATTTAGAATAAAAGCTTACTGCTAAATCACCACCCATGGATGAAAGCTTGACCAGAAAGTCAATAATACCTTATTTTATAGTTTTGAGTGCACGTTTCGTTGAGATGCTTCTTTTGTCAGCAAACAATTCTTCACAACAAATAATTGCTCAGGACAAATTTCAACCTTGCTTTCTTTGCTTTTTGACAAAACCAACTGCGATAGCAGTGCATTTACTACGGCGGGTATTCTGGGGTCACGTAAAAACTAGCTTTCTTCAGAAAGATATAGCAGTAGAAAGACTTAGGAACCATTTCAAAAGGGCCAACTTCCTCTTGTGTTTGGTTAGAACCGCGATACCAAACGAAACAATGGCTGAAATCAGAAAAAAAATCATGATTAAGCAAAAGTCACGTTTAAAGTTTTGGTTTGCTCCATTACAATTGAAATAATTTTTCTCGTTGTTTTGCTTTGAACCCACAGAGATCCATAGGATTTAAAGGTCTTCTGAAGCATTTTATTGTGCTGGAACTAAAAAATCTTAGAAGAAGCAACAAGGAGGGTTCGCTACTGCCAGTGGAACCTACTTAAAAATGATGCCACTTTTCTACCTGTGAGTTCAGGAGCTTAACTTTGAAATCTAACCATCAGAGAATACAATTTACTTCATAAAAATAATAATTGTAATAATAAATATTAATAATAACTTTGAATTTCCTCTTAGATTGAATTCTTTTGTACGTAGACATGCCAGAAAACAAAAGCAGAAGAAATCAAGGCTGATGTTAATAGCACTGTCACAGAGGAAAGCTTCTAAACATTCAGCTGATAAATCAGGAAGAGGCCGTTCTTGGCGTTTCAGCATTAATCAACCTCCGTCACAAAGGTGCTGTTGGAACGTGGCAAACATTACAATAAGCACAGAGCAGTGAAGTGTATCCACAGTTTAACAATAATTCAAAAGACAATTACAATTATTACATTCCAAGCACATTGGGTTGCACAGAAAACAATTACGAGCAGAAACACTGCTTGCTCGGAGCAAAGAGAGGACGGCAGAAAGCCCTATCACAGTACTGGATGATTTTTAACTTAACAAAAATAAGAGCAAAGATTAAACTAACTAAATGAAATTTCTGGTTTCATCAACTTTGTAAAATACGTACTGTTTTAAAATCCCCCCAAAATTTGAAAAATCACTACTTTGGTCAATTTAAAGTGATTTGGTGGCTGCAAGGTTCTTGAATGTTTTCCTTATTTTTTTCTTTTTAATTCTCTCGAGGTCACCTAGAACCCCAAGGGATCTTAATTTATCAAAGTTAACAAAAGTTTGAATAAGAAATAACGTCAGAAATTGGTTTTAAACTAATGGATCAAGGATAAAGTAAAAGGCTTTTTGATGTCAGTAGTCATTATCTTCTTTCGAGGATCTCTCAGATTTCTCACTTCACTAAAATAACACAGAAAATGTGTCCTCCAGAGAAAAATGGAGGACGGCAGGCTCCATACTATCAAACATTAAAACAAAAATCCACTGTTTACTAACATTTTACACAGGAGCAATCATCAGAAATTACTGTCAAAGTAATCGTTCAGTAAGAACAAGAGTTTTTCCTCTAAGAAAAAATCCTTGATGGGACATCCCCATCAAAGCACAAAGTTCACATGAATTACATCGGAACTAGATGGATCAGTCAGTTTTGGAAAGAAAAACTGCAATTATTACAACTGCTCTACTATAGTGGAATTCTAATTTCTTGCTGCAGTATAGCAAGGGCAAGGTCAGGTGATAACGTATCAACCTATTTTTCCATGATTTAGAATTAGGAGAAAAAAGGGGTACAAGGACTACTACAACGGATCACGAAATTTTAGTGGTTTAGGGATTCTGGTCACTATCACTGCCAAAAGTAAATGAAAAAGAAAGGATGAGGAAAAATAACCTCAGAGGATTTTTCTTTCCCATTCACAATTATTGTTGGACATGGAATGATTGACTCAAACAGTCCCTAAACATTAGACAGGCTAGTGGCACAACTTGTGCTTCTCTACAGAGCTTTATAATGAAAGTTGATTTACGATATTGTAAGGAAGGAAAATATAGAATGAACACAGTATCACAATTAGTTGCACCTGACTTTCATTAAATTGAGTACTGGGCCACAATTCCACTTTTGCTTTTCTACAGAATAAAAGCTACTGCTGTAATTTTTCCTGTCCAAGTGGCACTATCCCACTGCTCCATTCTAAGACTTTACATGATCTCCCTGAAGAATTCTGAATTTTGCCAATTTTTTTGACAGAGATCGTGCCGCTGCACGATTTCTGTGAAAAGGTTGATGATATGCAGCAAAATTAATATATTCTGGGAGTAAATTCTCAAATTTACTGTATTTGGACTTAAGAGTGGTACATACAGATTACTGTTAAATACTTTTCACAAAACTGCAAACTGAAGTGAAAGTAGAAGTGTCAATATGCATCAATGACCGCTCTGAAATCTTATGCACATGATACACTGATTCATTCCTGGCCTTTACCTTCCCCCTCAGCTTGCCAGATCCACACTTCCCGTACACAGAAAGAGGCTCGGTGAGATGGGATCTCAGTCACACCATATCTACCTTAGTCTAAAGCCTCTGACTCCAGCTGATATATTCCTAAATCACATGAAATCAGAATGAGATCCAGCACAAACTACATAGGATGGAAAGAAACTGAACTCTGATCAATGCCTTAAAATTTTGTATGCGATCAAGTAACTGGCTAGTTTCCAGACTTAATGTGTTTATAAAAGCAATAAGATCTACTTTCATATATCTATTTATTAAACAGTCCCTGGATAGTCTCTAAAAGTTGTTATATGTGCTTCTGTAAAAGAAAGTATATCGAGCAAACGCAGATGAACTTTGGAATCACGTTCATCTCAACATTAAAATTAAAAAGGTAGACTAGTCTTCATCTTTATGTTTGAATTAAAATTTAAAATAATTTTTAAATCCTTCTTTTAAAATCCCTAAAGGAATGAAAGAAGTAAATCTGGTTGCAAATGCCACTATGAATTTCAGAGTCTATCCTGGGTAATAAAATTTGTATGCTGTGTTTGAACAAACTGTCATGTTAATGACATTCCTCAGTCTGGTGTCTTCAATAATAAGCAAACTCAGTTTTTAAATGCAGTTGATGGGATTTTTTTCTCTCTCAGACACCCTATGAGGAAAAACAGAATTCCCATTTACTTTCATGACCTCTGATTTAAAAGCAAAGATTGCACATTATTTACTACCGGATGATTTCCCCGAAATTTAATGAGGACTAAGTACAAATATGACAGATGTAATTATCACAGTTTTATTCTGCACAGTCAGGGTCTCCTTGTGCTGTAATTGCAAGCTTTTCATTCAGCTGCCGATAGCAGAGTTATTATCGTAGTACTTCACGTTATTGCAGAGAGGAGGGAAACAGATTTCTACCCCACTTTTGCCCTGTAAATTCTTCTGAGAAGCCTTTTTGCCTAGCCTCACGCTACAAAACTAAAAACTAAAGGGCGAAGGAAAGAACTTGGACTAAATCTCTCTCCTGAGTTTCCTCACCCACTGCCAACCATGGTGTGGCCATGAATCAAACCTCAGTTTCCACAACCTACCGGAGGGAAAGGAGGTCTTGAGGGGATGTTTTAAAAGGAAGAAACATGTGGGCAGGTGGCCAGCTCATTGTCTGGTGCAGGGGTCTTTTTTACTGTGTACTGCTCCACTCATTTAGACTTCAGTTTAGGTTGAGTGAGCCTCAGCTGGAGACTGGACCACTGATCCAGAAGCCGGAGATACCCAGCAACGTATACACGACTGGAAGCCTCCTTTTCCGAAGCTCAAATATAATTACTTTATTTTGCACTCCTCCATCATCAGACAGCTCACACACACAAGGGGAAAAAAAATCCCCTTCTGGTCAGTTCAGACCATACTGACCTTGTGTTACTAATGACCATCTCGCAGCTCGCTACAATGCTCACTCCCAACCCAAGCGCTGCAAGGCGCAAATGCACCAGAAACATGATTGTATTGACATGATAATTACAGACGTTATTTAAGTTGAAAGGCCGCCATCTCATGTTAAAAAATAAAACAGTAGGATTTTTGCAAGAGTGAATAAAGGCAGACTCACTAGTATTCTGAATCCACTGTGCACTTACAAAGACATTGCTCAAATGTGTGGCTGCTAACAGAAAATATCTCAAATTAACAGCAGTAGTAATAGTATATATGTCAAGCTCAGGCTGCAATAGTTACACAGCCAGAGTAAACACTGCAGAATCAAGTGTCCAGTGTGATATTCCAGTAGGCTTCTGAGGTGGGAAGGACCGAAAGCCTCTGTTGCTCATATATTCTACTTCTGGCACCAGATTAACAAATGCATTTACACTAACCTGAAGATGTTTCATTTGTCTTGAAACTAAACAGTTTGCAGGGAATCTTTCCAAACTATGGGCTTGCAAAATAGCGACTTCTCCTAGCAACCTCCCACTGCATCACCTTCAGGAAATGCACGTTCTATCTATTGCTTTAAAAATAGCCCTGATTTAGTGCAGTGGATGTGCAGCATCTCTTCCCTTGGAATAACACAGGTCTGAGCAAAGCTGGGCTGTGGTAGTATCCTTAACCCTGCCCTGAAGAAGAGGAACTTACTTTCCCTTTGCAGTTTTCTACGACCATGCAAGATACTGCCTGCTTGTCCCAACCCAACGAAAAGCTTGTGTATCCCCTTATCTCTAAGCATAAAAATATGAGAGACACAGAGACACCTCACAGGCTTACTAGTGAGCAGAACAGAAGAATTATGCTTCATCAGGCTGGAGTGTATCTTATTTTATTGGATAAACCTCTGAGTATAGAAAAGCCACGAAAAAGAAACACCTTGCAGAAGGAAATATCCCGAAGTGCTGGATGGAAAGTCAAGCTGACAACCCTCTGTAAAACCATCAGAGTTAGAGCTGCTGAAGCAGAGACTCTCTGCCTGCATTAGCTTGGGGCATCCTGACAAAGCAAATCTGTTCCCAGCTATGTCCATGGGATATCTTCCTCCTGCCTCTCCATCCCCTAACACTACTCAATCTAATACTCTGCTCATCAGTGTAATTAAGGGAATTAAGGCAAAAGCTGCACTGAAGCCTGAGAGCTACGTCTCTGTGCATGATTTCATAAGGAGGATACATCTCCTCGGAACTCCAGGTCCCAATGACGAGCCTGATCCTGGGGCCACCTAGACCTTGGTCCAGTCAGAGACACAGAATAGTTTAAAACGTGCTCTAATCTGTACTCTTCTATCCTGGTCCTCTAAAATGGCAACTGGCAATCCCCAAAGTGTGCACGTGCTTTGATTCACCCGCTTCCCTAAGCCAAAGTCAATGGTGTCTCCTACATGAGGTACTTCTATGCAGCGAAAATATCCAGTCACATCTATTAGCTTTAGAAGATAATGTTCCCCAGTGCAAAAACCTTGACCAAAATATCACGCAAGCACATCCTGAAGATTTTGGTTGGGTTCTATGTATTTTTTAAGTCTTTGAAAGAAACATTTTTATATATACTCCAGGAAATCAGGCTTTTAAACTCTGCTGAAAGTAACAAATACAGAGCTCACAGAACAGTTTGTATGGTTTTTGGGTTTTTTATAAAAAAGTATTGTCAACAAAATTGGAAGGAAGTAGTCTGTAATTTCAGGCTATTGCAAATTGTTAGCTGCCTTGCCCACACAAAGTGATTTAACTGGGGGAGTGATACTTCCCAGGAAAATGAGCCAGTAATGGCATATACAGCCCACTATAGTGAAATTTAATTCTCCATCCTAAATTCTTGCTCATAACAGTTTCCTTATAACAACTTTTCAGTGCCCAAGTAATGCGAAAATAACCCTTTGGCATTTACATTGACACTAAGATGGGGCAATGCTACTGGCTCTATCATACCTGTTTTGTGTCTAAAAATAGAGACTTTTTCTCCCTACCACCTTTCACAGACAAAAAGGGTTTCACATTTAGCTTGCGTAGGGTGAGAAAGGGCAGCTGGGCTATGCTGGAGTTTTTGGAGGCAAAAACTGCACTGACCTATTTTGCAGTTTGAATGAACACACAAGTGGTAAGGGATTTTGTTCCTGCTTTCAAAACAGCAAGATCAGAGAAGAACCAAGAGAGCTACACAGACAGACAACTATGCATCAGGAGGGCAACAAATGAAGAAAGGTAAGAAGAAACATCACTTCTTGCTTGAGAAGCAGTTCAGAAGCCTGTGGAGCTCAGCTCTGCACAGCTACAGAAACCATTCCTCGTATGCTATTAGGACAAGTTAAAAACGAACAAACATTTAAAGAGTAACAGCAAGTAAGCTTTACCTCCTCAGAGAAGGAAAAGCTACCCTGAGCTAAAGGTATACTGTTGAATTTTGTGACTGATAAGTTATTAATACCAAGTACAGAAAATCTGACAGTATGATGATGAGGCAGAAGAACGACTATCTAGTGACCCTGTTTTCTTAGTACCTTCTTAGCATCTTTTGTTAGTAAACTTCAAGGACATTGCAAGCACATGCGGGACGTTTTTTTCTCTTCACTTTCAAGGGACAGCCTGAGACATCTGCATTGTCTTTGCAGTGAGGTGCCTCAAATCAGCATATTTTAATGATGGGGAAGGACAAAGGCTGATTATTTGCATTATTTTTCATGAGTTTTTGTACTTACAATTGGGCTAGCATTGATGTAGTCTGAGTTGTCGTGGCTATTTTCAGCTTTCAAACATATCCTGGAATGATCATCTGCAAAGGCAAAATAAAGAGAAGAAAGTTTCTATTTACGTTTTTCTACCCATTTTATCAATATCAGATTAATAAGCATTTCAAGACAAGCCAACAGTGTAAATTCCAGATAAGATATTTTCTTCTGATTCCTAACTTAGCATAGCCCTCATAGAGTCACAGAGTTGCACCTTAACTCAGGAATGAAGCTCTTCGAGATATTTCAGAGGCTGAGTATCAGAAAATGTGTTCTCAGGAGATGTCCCATAATGTGTTGCAAACACTCATAGGAAGAAGGGGAGTCTCTGTTGCTCACAGAGTTTAAGATTTAAACTAGGAAAATCACTGGAAAGTATTATAGAGAACACTCCTTTGTTTGCAGGGTCATAAAAGAAGTAAACTGATGAACTTTCTCCATCTGGCTTCTCTATAAAATGAATGTCAGAAACATCAAAGTACACTTCAGAGCTGGACAGTAAAATAATCTGTCCTGATCAAAGAACAGTGCCGCGCAGTGCTATTCCAGTGACATGGGAAAAACAGTATGACTTGGAGATGCTCCTAGGAGACGCAAAATGCAGATAACATCTACATTTAGAAGTAGGACCGGAGCGCACACAGATGGTCCTACACTATCAGTAATGCAGCTAGTTCAGACACCACTAGAAAGGAAAACAGAGCATCTCTGGATATAGGAGGCGCGCTCGTGTTAGCCCTTCGTCAAGATTCTGTTACCACTTCTTCACTGGCACTTCTACCATGCTGGCTCAATTGCATTTACCACATGTGCACCCAAAGGTCTGCAGTCCTTTCTTTGACTGTAGAATACATATAATGGGTGAATTTCATTCGTCTGTATTTAGACAGCGACAATGCAGATGCCTGCATCTGTTCCAATCATCTAGACTCACTTTCTGCCAACACTTTTAGGTCATGAGTCCTCTCACCCTAATTTAGCTGTCTAGAACAGGCCAGATGAACTGCACTCTAGAACTGCCTATTTCTTTTCATTGACTATAAAAAGAGTCCAGATAACCAGATCATACGCAGATAATGTATGTGAGAGATGTCTAAATCTTGACAGATGAATCTCAAGCAACTTGTATCTGACACATAACTAGCGCAGTTTATATTTCTCAGTGAACCTACCCTGAACTGTGTATTGTGGAGACAGGTCTTGGAGCTGCCCTTTCTGTAACCCTCTACAGTTGAACACGGATACTGATGTTTTGAAGGGATCTTTCCACCAACTATTCAAAGAGCCAAGGCGTGAGGGTCTACTGATGCTAGAGCATGCCTCTCTTTGCATCTTGTCTAGTGGTCCATGACACCATTCTTCAAAGCAGTGGAATTACAAATTGGCTTTTTTAATTATTAAATACTAATTATTATGTTAATAATAAAGAACAACAGAAGGGATATTAAGCATCATAAGCACTACACAACAGAGCCAGAGAGTTTGGGCTCTGCTTACATTTATTCACCAGGAATGTCAAGGCAGTTCAATACGTGAGCAAAACAAAGGTGTGCTTACACCACATAGACTAGAACTCCATATTCTAAGATTTTATAAAGTGTTATTTGCAATCACTTGATCTCATCAGCAAAATTTAACCCATGAATGTGAGCATGCTGGAATAAGATTAGAGATGCCCAAGTCATGTCAAGTGAACGAAGAACCATTCTTTCCTGTTCACACAAAATTATTCCTCTGGCAAAGTTTCAATATGAGGACCACGAAGCCAAGAAAGGGAACATACACACCCATACTATTCACTTCCAGCTTCACTTTGGCCCTGTAGCACAAAAAAATTCAAAATATAAAAAGAACTTGTGACATCTGAGATCTTGTGACTACCCAAGATCGGTTACAGACTGCCAGAGTGCCTGAAGAAGGACTGTAGCTCTGAAACTTTTGGGCTACAGTAGACATGCAGTTTAAAGACACTAATTGTGGTCTGGTGACAACGGTGAGACTTTTCATTTACTCCCCAGAAAAAAGTATGCGAAAAAGGTTGTACATGTGCTTTCTGTATAGAGAATTTGCACCCACGTGTGCTTAAGTTGCAGCATTGAGTGTTCATATTGACAATGAACAGCTTGTGCTTGTCTATGCCTGTTACCACCTCAAAGCTCCTAGGAACCAGCATAATAGCTCTTCAGAAACACACAAAAAATGTGGACAGCAGTTTGTTATGTTAACAATAAGCAACAGTGGGGAAAACGCTGGGTGTACAAAATTCTTTTTGTAAACTGCATATTGATTATGCTCCAAGCAAGCAGAAAGGAGCAGGAGAAGCAGCAAATAAAAAGAGGAAGGAAGAGGATGACAGAAAAGGAAGAAATCTAAGATCCATCTAAAAAGCAAGCTAGAAAGATGAATAAAGAACTAGGACAGCAGAAGGAAGGCAATAAGGAAGTGAGAGAAAAGGGCAGGCGCTGTTACTAGCCATTGTAATCTGAGCAAGATACAACTAGCCATCTTTTCAAACATCTACAACAGCTGCTGCTGAATGCTGAACTACCTTGCATTTGCTATTGGTCCAGCCAAACCAAAATAGGAAGACATATTAAATGTGTAGACGGATGTGTGTGCCAGAGGGAGGCTAACTAAACAAGAAAGTTACCAGTAATCTATAGCCGAGAAGAAACACAACACAACATGTAATCTTTCTAAAGGAAATACACATGAGTTTGCAGTATATAAAAACTCAATTTGTAGACTAAGAAACCTAAATGTGGTGTCTCCATACAGACATCTTCATGTAAGCTAGGTTACAGTTAATGAGGCCTAGTTGGCTAAACATGAACATCTCATGCCACGTGAGAAACTAGACAATATACGACATCACATAAGGATAACAGATAAGACACAAAACAGGTATGACCAAGGACACATATGTGATCAGCTTCTGAAAGTCGCACAGGATATCCCAGGGCATCAGTTTAGCCTGACACAGAAATCTGCATTTGGCCACTGCATTTGGCTAGCTCCACGCGGGTGCCTCGAAAGCTGCAGGCGCCTTGACCGGTACTAGATTCCACTGTAACGGTTGTCTGAATCCAGGCCTCACAGAGCAGGACAAATCCCCCAACCATCAAGTTGGCACGTTCTGCCTCTGCAGTCTTTCTCCTCCTCTCAGGTTTAGACTGATTTTATTTCACATATGCACACACACATGCACAGAGGCACATATCAAACTGCTAAACAGAACTCCACTGAAGTGAACAAGAACTACTGAGGTATAAATGCGAAGCCGTCTGAAGACTGTGAAGATCATAATCCTCTGATCATAGTTATTTTGTCCATAGGTTATTTGCCCACAAAGGACCTCTTCTTAGATCTGTACTGAAATCTAGTTCATTTATTCCAGAGCACTGCTCGTATAGATAACGCACACACACAGAGCAAGTGCTCTCTGCTGAGGTGCTCTTGTCCTTGGGTGCAAGTCTCCTGACTGCATGCAAGCCTCAGAACGGCATGGGCATGCCCCGCCAGGCTCTGCTTTCCTTTCAGGAAAATCAAAGCACACACGTAAGCACGTTGCTCTAATATATACCAAGACCAGTGGACACAGCTATGGAGGACAATTAATAGAAATCACCATTTTTCCAGGTGTCAGCTGCAAAAAGTTGTTCACTAAAGGAGCTGTTTGAAGCATATATATAAAAAGGATATATATATATATAGAATACATCTGTAAACACACAAATAAAAATATACAGTATTGACCCTACGAGATGTTTTTACTTTGCAGAAATGCAAGCAGGGAAAATTAAGTCTTAAAAGCTTTTTTTGACATCAACGAACTGAACTGACAATGTTTTCATGCAGAAAAGAAGGTATTCCATAACCCTAAGTTATCCCAACCTGTTTGCTGGTTGGATAAAAAGATGTACTTTTGTTCATCTATGATGCCTGTGTCATTAGACCTGTTAGAATTTTTTTTTAATTAGTAATTAAGTGTAATGTCAAGGTGTTCTGACAGCAAATATTTCACATGTTTGTAAGAGCAGAAGATAGGCATAAGAGTAAACTGTGATGAAACTGTGAGCTTGAAGGTAGTATTAATACAGAAATGACACAAGTTGTGCAATCAGTCAAAATTAATAACCTAATATTTTAAGATTGGTTAAGAATAGAAAATATAAAGCAGATACAAAATGATATTAAAGCCTCTTTGAAGCCTTCCTAAAATGACATCTTTTCCAACTGGTGATCTTCTTTTACCTTGTCAAGGTGATTATGAATATGAAAGGGGTAACAAAATGCTACCAAGGCCTTACTCTCTGAAAATACTTTGGATTGCAGCATATCAAAAGCCTATCAACTTTGCTTCTTAATTTATGCTGAAGTAAATCTGTGACTTTTTGCTGTAGTTTTAATGTCAAATCTAATTAAAAAAAAAAGTGGGCTAACTGGGCTCCTTCGCCTCTCAGTCTAATCTTAGAGTCTATAATAACCACCATCTTACCAAAATGTACTGTTGTTTAAACTGTATGTCACACTTCTTCACCCACCATCAAAGTAGTTTGAGGGTATAACATGACAGCTGTTTACCAGTGCATAGTAACTTCGGAAAGTAAGGACAGGCAATTTTGCGCAAATCAGTCAAAAAAGGAAAATTCCAAATACGCTAACAGCCACAATAGAATTTTCCACATTGTAACAAAGCCAAGAAATAGCATTTTTACTCTTATATAAGTTCTAAGGGATTTTAAATGTGCTAAAATACTTTTAATTCAAGCTTCCGAGAAATTGCAGCCACCCCGGCCATGTCCAAACGCCTTCAGGAGCAGTACTCATTCAGTCTAGGCTTGGCGGGAAGGACGGACATACCAATATACCATGCAGTAAGCCAAGGGCAGAGACTTGCAAACTGAAGGCAGTGTAGGCTAAGACAATCACACGGTACCATGCCATGAAAAGAGGCAGACTATCTTAGCCTTAAAAATAGCTCAGCGCTGTAGCGTGGCATGACACCCAAGCTAAAAATCTCTGCTCCGTCGCACTGCCACAGTCACAGAGCTGGCACAGTCTAGGCTGAGGGTTCCTGCATTACTGTTCACCCCATCTTGCAGAATACACCAGCATCAGCTTTGGCAAGACCTACCGTTCCCATGCTGCCTCCAGTGCAGCAGCCAGGAACAAGCTGGTTTAATTTAAGAGCAGAGACCTGGAACAGCTTAAGATGCTCTGACTGTAAGTCTGCATTGACAAAAACCCTTTAAGCAGGAAGATCAGTTGGATCAACAGACATTATCACAGAGCAAATTTCACTCTCTGTCATGTAGGTAGGCATTATTTTCTCGGGGTAGGAAAAAACACAGAAATCTGGCACTCCTTTAACTTCTGTGGTTACTCTTTTAGAACTTTTCAACAAACCTGATAACTAAACCCACCGAAGTTAACAAAATGTTGCTGTTTACCCCAACAGACTATTGATCAGTGCCATATTTACTCTGGAGAATTTACATCACCAAACTATTATACTCTTCTCCTAAGCTGCACAGTACTGGAAAAAGATCCTCCATATTAACAAGAAAGCCAAACCCTACTGAAATAAATATGCAAGCGTCGATGGGCTCAGTTAAATAATCATGTAGTTGCAGTCTGCACTCTAAATTTGGCTCTGACATTGACTTAATGTATTACCTGTCATTTCCCCATTTCTAAAAGAGGAATAGCACCTACTCATGGCTCTCATAGGGAAAATTAATGTTTCCAGGGCACTTTAAAAATTAAAACAGCTATATATTTTTGCCAAGCTACCCAGCTGGATTGTGGGCACACTGATTGAGAACATTTTTGTCACTGTGGTTTGTGCACGTATTCTCAGTTTCAGTTTTGTTTCACTGGTTGCTTAATAAAATGTGTAGCCCATACCAATGTAATCTATGCAATACATATATTTGCATAGGGAAAATATATTGCTTTATTTCAGATTCACAAAGGTGGCTGCTTACAGAAAAGAGCAGATTGTAGGAACATAAATATTAGCTGTGTTCTTTTCCTCTTTCCATCCAAAGCCCAGCAGAGAGAGAAGCCAGTTTGCAAGCTTATCCACTGAAGCCTAAAGGGGCTCATTCAGTACAGCTGAGTATCTGATAAACAGATCATCTAGCTCTGATTATAGACTGCTGGTATTACTGTTGGATGGACATGATACCAACTTGTCTAAACCCAAGCCAAACTTCTACTGAATGGCTACAGATGCTACCCTTGTACAGCAACTATGCTCCCGTGTTGAAAAGCACTCTGGCTATTGAATTTCGTGAGACACTGCAGCTGCAGCAGCAGTACTGTGTGACAGACATCGTTAGGCATTTCATAACACATATGCAACTTAAAAGGAGATAAAACTGTCTGATATGACAACGGGACATGCAGGCAACCAATATTTATAGCTATGATTTTTAATGCACGCATATACTGTTCTGTACAGTGCTTGCCTGTCAACTGTAGCTCTCAAAGTACTGTGCAGAGGACATTAAGGAAAACATCACAAACTTAAAACACAGTCACCCAAATTACAGTGTACATACATGGTACTACAGCCTGTGAGCGATTCTTCTGGATGTTTTCCTCTCGCTGTGCAACGGTGGTGGCATTGGGTTCAGCCTGGTAAGCACAAAGAGCTTCCCACTCTTTCTCCAGACGATTCTTATTTTTCAGATGATCTTCCATGTAGGACTGGAATTAAAAGAATATCGTATTAAGCACTGACCTATTCAGACTCAAAGCTAAACTGAAAGCATACATATCAGGACAGAAAACAGAGATGGGAAGAACTAATGTGTAATTCAGGGCTTCTATAAATAAGTACTTGCTCAGAACTTGTTTCCAGCTTTCCAAACTGTCAAAAACTCAGATTCTTTATCCTAAAGAGAAGGAAGAACTAAAAGCAGAGCAAGGGGATTCTGAGCCTTAGGGACAAAATACACCCAATCTTATTGTTAAATGATTGACTTAAGCGCGTTTATTTTAAGCTCATTTTTGTCATACAAATTAAGAGCTCTAACATGTAAAGGTGCTAGCTTCACTGAGAAGAAATGCTTGAAACCCCAGCCACCGAAGCTATTTCTTCTTCAGTATCTAGGAAATGGAAGTACAAATGTCTTTTTCGTCAGGTGACGAAAAGAAGCAAAAGTCCATTGGAAGAATTACTGATCAACAAAAGCTCAAGTCTATCCGAAGGCTTTTAAACTGAAGTCCACGTACATATACAAGTTATAAGAAACCTGAATTATCGACAGTATAGCTATTGAAAAGAACTAAAAACTTGCTAAGTGGATAATATTTTAATGATACAAAAAAACAAAATATGTCTTCTTCCACTACTTGGGAGATTAACAGGGTGAAGGTAGAGAAAAAAAAAATTCCAGCAAGGATTTGGGGACAAGTTTTGGAGATGGAGAAAAAGGTAATTTCTCTCGCTGTCTTGTTTCTCCTCCATTCAAACACAACGGAGGGCAGGAAAACTGACCGAGGAGGGCACAAGAGTATTCATCTTCCAGTCATCCATAGGGTGGTTCAGAGCAGCGGAGAGGATAGCCAGGTTCAAGGCCCAACCACTACTTCTCTTTCCTTTGGATGCTTCCTCCCTTTACAGAGCAGTGGTTATCACAGCTGATTTAAGGTTTGCAATGGAGTCTGGCCATATGGATTTTTCAGATTAGGAAAAATGTTCTCTGCTTGGGCAGGTTTATGGGTGCTGCAGTCATGTCTTTGGGATGCAGGGTTGGAGGGCGAAAGGTGTCAAATCGCCCCCGGACACTTTGTCAGTCTTGCTCGAGTTTCCTCTTGGCCTCAAAAGTCAGTCTGCATGATTGGACTGTAACAGGCTGGTCTTGGCTGGCAGATGACTTCCCAAATTAAAAGTTTTCATTGCTCCTGTTTAAGATGAAGTGTCACAGCTGTACTACTGGGTCACTAAGAACTCATACTGCACGTGGACTGCCACAGAGAGGGCCCTGAACTGAGAATATGATGCTAATTAGTAAATTTCGTCAGCAGTGCCAGGAATGATGGACCATCAGAGTATATTGGGGCAGGTCTTAAGTTTTTGCAGCTCTCATAGGGCTGAGGATTCAGTACAGCACTGAATAAGGCATTTGGTTCCAAAGGCTGCCAAAAGTGAAATAAAACCCTACTCCTTCATCCCGTGGCCCTGAAAATCACAGCAAGTAGGTAAGGGGAAGAGAGCGGAAAGGAGGAACGATGGGGAAGAACTGAAATCTTCCTCTAACTTTTAACATTAAAATTAAGAAAATTATCACCTGGTACTTAAGTCTATTTGTACAGCAAAATTACCTTTCAGAGTGCGTCCTTTCCTATCAGGCTCAGCAAGAGAATAATTTCATATTACGCACAGTTAATATTTGTAAAATAAATGGCATTCTACCTTTACAAGGTAGGTTGAAGTTAATGTCCTTCAACAGATTTTTAAAAGGACAAACCGGTTAGGGGACAACCTCAGGGTCTGGAAGGAAGTCAAGAGCAGGGCTGCAGACCCCTACCTGAGGCCCAAGCATCAAAGCGGCTTTTAGTTAAAACCGCTCAGCCAAAGCTGTTCCTTTCGAAGCGCTCACTAGTACAGTTAATTCTCCAGGAATACCTGTCTAGAAAATAACTCCTGGAAAGGATTCACTGAAAAGTATAAAAAGCAGTTTAATTTCTTAGAAAACCTTTTACATAGACAATCTCCATTATATCAAATTGTTCTTCCCGAACATATTTTAAAGAAGAAAGGCTATCACGTCCTATCGGATGGTTTTTCAGAAGGTGTCAAAAGCTTTAAGCCTGCCTTCTGCCAAATGTAAGCTAGGCTAAAACTGTCACTTCATCATGCTTCCCACAGAACAAGCAAAACCGGGTACTGTTCTCTCTTGCAGATTGAACATTTTTTTAGCTCAGCAAGAGCCGCTGACACACAGCTTTGTTTTCTGCAAGGTTCGTCGCGTGTGTGCATCTTTACCCGAGAGTTGTAAATCAAACCTGCTACGGAAAAGCAATTCAAGAAGTGATGCTTCCAGGAAAAAAAAAAAATCCGAATGTTTCTTTAGGACAATGGATCACTTCATCATGCTTCCCACAGAACAAGCAAAACCGGGTACTGTTCTCTCTTGCAGATTGAACATTTTTTTAGCTCAGCAAGAGCCGCTGACACACAGCTTTGTTTTCTGCAAGGTTCGTCGCGTGTGTGCATCTTTACCCGAGAGTTGTAAATCAAACCTGCTACGGAAAAGCAATTCAAGAAGTGATGCTTCCAGGAAAAAAAAAAATCCGAATGTTTCTTTAAGGACAATGGAATATATTGGATTAGAAGAAAGGTTTCTAAGGGACGTAAAAACCAGAGTAGTGGCCTAGATACAATCAAAACATCTGCAGTGTGATTGCTTAGGTTCCAAAACGAAGGAAAAAGCATGGGGCAGGGCCCTGCTCTGGCTGATAGGGAGCTGGCACAGCCCCGCCATGTGTTAGGGGAGTGGGTCGGCTACAGCACCTCAGCCCTTCACCCGACAACTTAACGGATGGAAACCGTCCTCTGCTCGTTTGCTCGCCGCTGCCAAATGGCTGTTGCTACCGGGGAAGGGAGGGAGGCTAAAGAGCCCTTTTTGTCCTCCTGGTAAATCTGCGCCTGGGCATGTACGTTGAACATAATCAAAAAAAGATAATCCCTCCTAAGCACAGAACAGTCGGCGTATACAGAATTTTTATGAGGAAGACGAGGAAAAAATAGTGAAATCTTGCAAAACTACTGAGCCAACATCCGCAGCTTCAGAAAAGCTGTTTAGCATGTGACAGCCAGAGATCAGGCAGTCAAGGACCAACCCGTAGCATCATTTTAAGCCACACTTACACAACCTGATTCATTTTGGTCTGCCCATCACCAACGTCCCATAGACTCCATGGACGTCTTTGCAGATATATGGGTCTGCCAGCACCAAATCTCTCCAAGACACTGAGAGATCCACGAAGCTGGACGAAAAGCTCCAGGAACACCTGACTCCTAAAGCTGGGCTGTAAGTAGCAAGGAGCTTCCTGGCTGGCTCCAGCTTGTCTATTTGAGGATCTCAAACACTGTATCTTAAAATTAGAATTTTGTATTTTCTTTTTAAATTGGTAAACGTGATGTAGGTAAGCTGCTCTGACTGCATACAAATTTTTAAATAACTCATCTCTCTTTTCAGAAAGGAATACCCTTTTGACTTCTACCTTACTTTTTCAGGGAATACTGAGTGTAAATACAAATGAATGTACAAATGACAATACACTGAAATCTTAACTTTGACCCGACAACCACTTTCCATGTAGTGTCAACACCGAAGGCACATGGATCAGATTCACAGGACACTTCCTGACAGATCTTGAGGAGGTGTTTGGCTATTTGAACAGACCTGTGGAAAGCTCTGTTCAGCATGAACATCTGCTTTACACACGTTTAAGCAGCTACTGCGAAAGAAGCTTCCTTGAAAACGTTTGGAAGTCAGACAATTCCCTCACAGTTAAGCAATCTTTCACTTACAGTCCTTCAGAGCCCCTACTCTCACCCCCACTTTGCTAAACAGGAGCTCAGTGATTCTGAAATACTCGCATGGGAGCGCTCGGATGTACATTAAATTGAGTGGAACTTCTGATATTTTAGAGATTACATGTCTGCTCAGATCCACTCCTTAATTAGGATGTTTTCATCAGACATTCTGAAGCGTTTGCCCGGTACAAAAGAAATTCATTACCAGCATGTCAAACACACATGAATTTCACTGTCCCACAGCAGCAGGCCAAATAAAGAGCTTGCCACCAGTATTGCTGCAATGCTCCTCAAAGCTGCTGTGAAAGGCAGAGGTCTGGTCTCACCAAGGTGTGCACAGCTGGATCTGCCCTCAGCAGAGAGCCTGTAATCCTGAGCACGTGCTGCTGCTTAGATAAACACTGTCCACTAGGCCAGATCTCCCTAGGTACCTCGATTTTCATTAAATCTTCATTTTCCTTCAGCAGAGCCTCATTTACAAGAACAACGGTTAGCCCAGTTTACACTTTTTCTTGTATGCACAGATGAGATAGTCTTGCTACTAAGAGTTTTAAGGGGAAAAGGAGCATGCAAAGTCACCCTCTCTCCTATCCGTGTATGTGGAGAGGGGGATATGTTTTAAAATATATTATTTTCTCAGTAAAGATTCACAGGTAAACACAGTGAGGCAGGCCAGTTCTGAGGCAAAAGATGAGCTCTCAGCCAGAGGATGAAAAACTGACCCAGGGAAAATGAATCTCTGGCCAAGAGAAGTGGTACCAATAGCACATAATAAAGACAGATTCAGCATGCTTGAATAGAGACACAAAGGCCTGCTTTGGATTCAGTAAAGAGTCATGAGACCTCAGTTGATGATGTCATTTGATGTCAAACTGCTTGTTTTTCTCTACTCAAGGAGTGGCATCCAATGTGTGCTCTGTGGATAAATTAAAGTTGACAAATATCAAAATTAAATTTTAATTGTCTGGCCAATCTCCACATACCTTCTTCAGAGATACTATGAATTGCATCTGCCAAGAAACTTGTTTTAAAAACACCTGTTGTATTAGCTGATGCTCAGCTATTACAAAAAGCAATTATTTTTGACAATGCACTTCCAATATGGTGCTTGATTAGACACCTCTTTTCATGACTGAGGATGTCTCTTTCAATAAAAAGA